CCTCTGGAGATACCGAAACACGGCCCTGGAACACATTTTCTGAGTCCCTGTTGTGTGGTGACTTTGAGTGGGAATGTCACTTACAACAGTCAAGGTACCTTTGTGTGGAGGTTTAAGACAGCAGAGCACTCCCACTCCTGGTTTGACGGTAGGCAGCATTTTGCCCTAATTCATTATGCATTGTCCCACCATGAGGCTACCTACATACTGTTCCCGCTCAGATGTAGAAAGACATGTTAGTAGGAACATATATTAATGATGATGACATGACAGAGGGGAATGTTTCTTGCTGCAGGATCAGCAATGTTCTTGAAATGCTCCAGATGGCAAAACTCCATTCTTTTTTTACATGCCTCGTTTGGTAAATTTTTTGGCAACAAGATATAATTACAACTTTGGAATGTGCGTTCTAGTATCAGCTACTCTAATGAGTTATGAATGATCAGATCCAGCTATCCTGTAAGGAGAAGTTAGTTCGTGTGCTCAAGTGACTCCACCAGCATCTGGGCTACAAAGATCAGTGATTTGCCCAGTGTTGAAGCATTGACATCTGGTTCTTGAACTTTTTTCTAGACCTTGGCTGATCTTATTCCTACAGAATGGCAACCCTTAAGGATACATTCTGCTAGTGAATATGGGACTAACCTAGAATCGATGTAAAATTTGCACTGTAATTGTGGTCTAGCCAAAAACTAGTCTATTGTCTTTGAACGATTATTTAGGACATTCTTCTGCTATATAAATTAGCTTTTAGACATTGCTGCACTGATGAAAATGAAAAAAAAAATGTGTGATAAGGAGAAAAAGACGGAAACAGAAAAAAATAAAAATCACATTTATTTAAACAAAAATATACACACAGTGTACAATGAATATGGTCTACACGGAACAACAAAATAAAATGATTTTTCTTCAAATGCCAGTATAACATGATCTAACTTACTATCTCTGCCCCATTTCCTAGGAATACACATTATTGGCTCATCTAGAATATATACTTAACATAAAAAGAAAACAAATGCCACCATTTCAGATAAGTACCACAAGAGTCTGAAAATTAGATGTTAGGTTAAACAGTATAATAAAATATTCACATGAGAAGTATATGTGTACAAAGAACACATTTGTGCAAGGAAACGGGAGTGTCTCTCCACTTACACATCTGTGGAGCCTGCCTTTGAAAAGTTTGAAAAGTCCTTTGACATCAAATATTGTTTTAATATTGACAGTGATATAAAAACATCATAGGACCTATATCAATGGGAAAGCAATCTTGCTAATACATGCGTCAATATTGCCTTCTAGACAATGAAATCGTACCAAGTGATCATTAGAGTTGGACTGCTGGATTATGTATGCTCTTTTGTGACTATAGAGTCATTTCAGTGATTTTAGGAAGCCTGTGAATATATTCATGCTATGAGTAGGAAAGTGCAACATCATCTTAAGGAACTCAGTTTACTAAAAGATAAACAAGGTCTGGCTTATCAGGAACCATTGTTTGCATTAGACCTTCTCTTTCTTGATATTCACTCTCCGGGGACTATACTTCATTGTGAGCCTTTTTTTCTTTTTTTGATTTATAATTCTAAATGTTCACATAATCTATGATATTCAAGCTCAGGACAGCTAATTGCATGTACAATTTATTTTTTGGTTGATATTACCTTATAATTCTTTGTCTTACTTCCTTTGTACTAGTAGCCAGAGAGGCTTTGTTTCTTTGACATCAGAAATACTTTAGACTCTCTTATGTGCTTAGAAATAAGATTTGAAGACTGATTAATGTGCACCATGACTCAGAAAGTAAAAATCCAAATTTCCGTACCTTAGCTTGATACCTAATTGGTTCACCATATTTTATCTAAACACTGATTTTATTTTCCTCTCCTTAAAGATAGTTTTGTTATAGGTAGCATCTGTGTGGGTAGAAAGTTCTAACTTAGAACTGCCAAAGAAACAAAGGATGTAATATATTGGGACTTTCTTTGTAAAGCAATAAAATATAAATATGGGGGAAAAAAGCATAGCTTCTGCCGACTGCAGCTGAGCTAAATGAATGTCAATTCACACTAAAATTGTCAATCAACCACACAATGCTCAGCAAATCATTCTCTTCAGTGGTGCATTATTTGTAAAGCCTCCAGCTATTAGGGATGCTTTGTGTTCAACAGGCTCGCTTCCCTCCCTAACTGCTGATCATGGTTTTTCTCGGGCCAGTTTCTTAAATCTGTGATAAACATTAATTTATTTCCTAAAGATTACAAAAGGTGCCCTGCATATTGAATTAGACAACTGATATGCCATCCTGCTTGGAAATCAAACATCTAAAACATCTGTAATGTTCTAGCATACGGCCAGAGTTTAATTTGCCTAATCTAACAGTGTGGATTTCAACCGAACTATACTTATTAGAATCTGGACACAGTGATATGGTACCATTTTTCCTGCATTTAGAAAATGCTAAAATTATAAGCTTAAAAACTTATACTAAAGCACATTTTCAGTGATATTCTAATTAGGCTAACATTTCTCTGAATTTAGCCCATGGTTGTTATTGCTTATGCTAAGGCTGCATTGCTAAGATTTCCCTTGCAGAACATCAAGAGAGATACATTTTTAAATGCATCTGTATGAGTATATAATTTAATTATGAAGAACATATAAACATCAAATATTACTCATAGTGTAATAGGTGTTTTTAAAAAGGGGAACAACCAAAACAAAATTGTAGCCATCTGAAGATGCCTGATTGCACTTAATACTATATTAATACTTTCATAATGTTTTCAATTATTTGTTGTTTGCTGGAGAAAAAAGGTGGAATTCAGTTGTATGCTGGTAAATGTTTAACAACTGGTTTTCCAGGAATTAAAGGACCCAGTTTGCAGCACTGGATCATTTTTGGATGTAAATACTCCCACTGTGGTCAATTTCAAGCTACCCACCTGATGTTTCTGGGTGTGGAGTCAGGAAGAGATGCAGAGTAGCCCATGATGATACAGTGTTTCCACTGTGCAGAGATAATGGACATAAATAACCTCAGAAGCATAGGTAAAGAGTAAAATGAAGGAAAACAATTAGGAAGTAGTAAGTTTTGATCATGATCCTTGTTTTTAATAAAATGTATTTAATTGCTTTTGATAATTTAATAATTCATGATGGTGTGTTTAACAACCGGCTCACAAATTTCCTGAAAATTTAATGAGAGTTAAATTTAACTCTCACAAGTCTGCATGAGTCAGTTCTAGTGCACCGCTTTTATCCTTTCTCCTTGGTTCATGCATCATACTTTACACAAGGAGGGGCTTGATTTGTTGGGAAGAAAAGCATTACTCCATACAGATCTTTTTCTTTTCCACTCAGAGTCTTATTTCATGCAAAATACAATACGTAGTGGAGGGGGAAAAAGGGGAAAAAAGGAAAGTATCTTCCACCCAGATGCTGGCTTTTAAGACTTCACAGATTTTCAGAACAAAAACAGGGATCTGTCTTATAAAGTAAGAACTGGAGGTTAGTCACATGCTATACTGCTCTAATTAGTTAGTTGGTCATTTTAGCACAATTTGTCAGCAGGATCAAATTGTGGCTCTGACTCATGGGATTACTGGACTGACTAAAGACCAAAGGATTGTTTTGGCAGGATACAGACAAGATCCAAGACGGTATTTACAAAGAAAAAAAAGAAAAACCAAACAACCACGTGGGAAATTAACGAATGCATCCAAATGTGGGTCTGCTTCAATCAAATATTTGAAACTTTAATGTTGAGCTGTTTCATGGAACATTTTTAGGCTCTGGGTCTTTTGTCACTGGGTCATACATAATCAAGATTTCGCCTTCCCTTGTTTTTAAATATGTTTTCTGTAGAACTCTGCAAACAGCTCTACAGAATTGATATCTGCATTTGATAACCGCATTAGAGGGAAACATATTTTTAGCCCAAAATTTTTTTTATCTTGTTTGGAAATGTCATTTTCTTGGTTCAGTTTCTGGCTCAATCTGATCTCTTGAAATAGGTCTGCTCGTGTATATTTTAAATAAAAAGAGAGAGAGGAAAGCATGACTAGGCTGTGTTTTTACAAAGGAGATCTTAAAACTTTCTAACATTTGGTCTTTGATCTAGGAAACTGCAAAAAGTTAAGAAATAGTGAGGTGGATTTCCAATGGTACTTGGAATAGCTCTGAGGAAGGGAGCAGTATTGCTGTTGGTATGAAACATGAATTTTCTTGGTTAAATCCACTTTTAACAGTATGCACAGATACAGGCTTTATAAAGGGAAAGACAGATGACTCTGCTAATAATTAAAGGAAACTTCTATGGATTTGTATTGCAGTAATCTCCAGCTTTTGAGACTTCTCTACCAGAACTTACTAAAAAAGAAAGAAAATATATCTTTGGGATATCTTCCCCAAATAGAAGACCCTACTTATTGATTTTTTTATTTAATAAATATTTTTTTCTGTATCTGAGTCAAGAGTTCTCATTTTTAAAAATACAAACAAAAATGACTTTATAAGAGTATTTACAAGATGATACATTTTCATTTAAGGTCTCTTGGAACACAGACCACTCTTTGATATACTGAACGAGGCTTCATTGTTACTCAAGGAAACCTCTGTCATCCCAACCTCTTTATTTAAATCCAATGGGATCATGGAAATAACCCAAATCCTAGCATTTTCAAATAAAATTGACCAATTCAAAAATTATATTTAATCACTGAAATGGAGAATGAAGCATAAGGGAGAACACCAAGAAACTTGGTCTGTAAATAGATCCATAGTACACAGCATCTTTTTATTGAAAAACCTGGAAACTATTTGTAGATGACCTCAAATACAATGCCCACAAGTCACTAGCTAAAATAATGGATTGAAAATTCTAGTATGAAAGGCACCAAATAGTTATCAAAAATTTATAGTAATCTGAAAAACCCAACATGAACCTATAGATCTGTTTGGAGTCCTTAGTTCAACAGACATCTTAGCCAAGAAGCTGTCACACTAGCTATGAAAAAAACCCATAATATCACCCACTGAATGTGGGCACAGCCAGGAGAGGTCTATGTAACAGCCCTCCAGCATTTCCAAGGGGAGATTTATGCTCTGGATAGCATACTCTTCCAATGAGTGAGGAAAAAGAATAAACTCTTAACGTCTGGAGAAAACAGGTTTCATTTATTCAGATCATTATACTCCAAGGCTCAATTCTGGCAATAAATGCCAAATTCTATTTAACTAACTAGCATTCTCCCACAATTTTCATGTATATTTTTAGCATGGCAATTTGGAGAATAGACAATCCACAGGCCAGGAAGGTAAGAAGAGATTGTAATCATGGTTCTAAAATTATCTAGCTGGATGACTGGGGTGCATCCCTTCCTGGTGCTTTAATTTACCCAGTTACATGGGCCTTATACAAGATGATCTCCAAAGCAATTTCTAATTTGGAATTTTGGAAAACCTATGGTGCAATTTTCCGGAGAATAAATTCCAAATTCAGGTTACCAGAAATAATTGTTTGAGTTTATCATTAGTTATGGCTGCATAGGTCTTAAAATGTTTATTCACATATAGTCATCTATGCCAGACACGCACACTTCCACCATCTATATTCTGTAACAAGAGGACTATTGGGAAACATCACAAAGATAGTTTATTGACTCTTATGAACTTGGCTACATAAAGTTCAGGCTGATGGGGATTTTCACATTTGACATCAGCAGGCTGATCATCTTTCATTTCCTTGCAGTAGCTGTTCCTCGTCATGTTTTTTCTACTAAACTATTCAACTTTTTCTATCACCACTTCTGTAATGGGGTCACATGACTCTCATCAGAGTTTTGAAAAGATAGCATGTTGTGGAAAAGTCTCTCACCGTGTTGCTAACACTGTCATCTACCTGTGCGGGAGGACTGGTCTCATCTTGCCCAGAGGCCCCAAGTCTTTACAAGCACACCAGCAACCCGCTTCTGCCGTCAAGTTCATGCGTTGACATTACCGAATTTTCATTCACTGGAAAAATATTTTCCAAGTCCCACAAATGGGCTCTAAGTTTACACGTAAGAACAGCTGTGGAATAACATGTCTGAGTCTCCCTCCCCTTTTCCCCTCTCCTGTCTTCGCTTTGGAGGTCAAGAGCCCCTCTTTGAGTCACCTGTCCTACCTCTGTGGCAGCCTACATCTCCTCAGAATGCCTCTGGCTGAGGGACTCCATGAATGAAATGTCCCCGTCCTGAGCTGATCTCAGCCAGCGAGGGGCAATGCATTGAGACCAAGAACTAGAATCACAATGTTACTTGAGATTTTGTAAATGGATTTCTTTCAGAGTAATATGCTAACACCTAATTCAAATAATGCCTAGATCTGGGCAAACATCCCTGATCACCTCCCTCCACAAATTCGTGACAGTAAAAAAGTTAAAAGGGTGGAGATTATCCGACTGAAGCGTGTTTGTGTTCCTGTTTATTTGCATGTTGGTAAAGTTAGGTGTCAGCTTTTCCATAAGTCCCCTCTGGAGGTCGGTAGTATTTGGGGAAAGCCATCAGCTGTAGCATGTTGAAAGCATACTTCCTGCATTTGACATTCTTCAGTACATTCTCTATGCGGCATCCTTCTCTGGTGAAAGGGGAAAAAGTACAACTTCATGAAACACAGAATAAATAAATATGCTTTATTTGTTCAATGCAGAGTTGCAGCAACAGTCCAAGTAAAAATAACAAAGATTCAACTCTACATTTTTTTTTCCCCACAAATGATGATACATCTTACAAAGTTAAATCCTAGGCCAGGCCCAATACCGTTATTGCCCTCGGAAAGAGATGATTCAAGTCTCTTTGCTCTTAACAGATATTTAAAGTTTAATAAACTCTTTAAATATAATTTGCTCCACAATACAGCTTCACTTTAGTCTCATAAATATATCTGCCTTTTTTTTTTAAATAACTTTTCCACAAATTAACTTCTCAGTCTCTTTAAAACACATTAAAATCTACATGTAGCCCTAAGGATGCAGGTTCTAAGAATAAGGCATTTAATTGATTAAGTCTGGCCCTATAGATTTTTAAAGGAAAATTTCATCTCTATTTTACTTCATTATTTTAGCTGTGCAACGAAGAGAAGAATGGCTTTCCCAACAGCCTGGTCCAAGTCTCCACTTTATAAAGGAAGGGGGCTTGTGCACAGACAGTACAAAAGTCACAGGTGCTGAAAATGGCATGTGGGACACGAACAAGACCTGGTTAAAAAGAATAGAAAAGTACTCCGAGAGCCAAATTAACCCAAACAATAGTTACAAACAGGTTAATTTAATTACAAAACATAAAGAGCCACTTTCTCCATAAAATTGCGTGACAGTGAAGAGTCAATTGAAGCCAAGAACTAACATAACTCACAGGTTAAGGAATCAAACAGAAGGTTCTATCAGCGGACGGCAACAATGATATTAGCACAGTGGAAATAAGTCTGGAACCTCCCACATCTCTAAAACTTGTCTCAGGGTTTCAGCGCATTGTGCCAATTCATTCTTAATTGTTTTTGATAAACTGAATGGGAAGAGAAACGGGAGGTGCAGAACTTCAAGCTTTCAGGATTCTGTTCTTTGTCTTATTCCAAAGACAGTAATTTAAAAATTCTTTTGAGCTAGTTAACAGTGGGAAACACTTTTCCATGAACAAAAGAGCAAAATAATTCCCTTAATGCATAGTATTTCTTTTTGTAGATTTTTAGGAAAAACAAACAAAACACAATTCAAACATTTGGTTTTTTTTTTAAATTCTGTGAATTTGAAAATGTAGAAATATTACAGCATCACCCCCCGTAATTTAAAGTCCATTGTCATTTGTAGAAAAGAAAGGAATACAACATAAAACTTATTGGTATTTGGCTAATAGTAACGCAAGACTTAGAATAAGCCACACAACTAGCAGGTGTGAGCTGACAAGCAGCAAGGCGACAGGATAGAAGTGTCGAGAAGTTGGCTTGTTATCAGTTAGACAGCCTGTTTCGGGATCATCGGATTCATTCAGTGCTCCCTGGGTTTGTCTGCTGTTAAACAGGGGTGGGGAGGGGGAGTCAGGGGAGAAAAGAAAATAGTATAGCATTCACACAGGAAAGAAACTCAACCTTAAATATCCTGAAATACAACACATTATGTTACATAACACAGCTGTTTCAGATGGAGTTTTTATGCTAAACAGCCCCAAAAGCATCCTGCGCATCTTTTTCTTCCTGTACTACATTGACAACTGCATTAAAAATAAGGAGATTCCTTTTGCTTTTTGTGCAAGAGGGAACAGAGAGACACTAAGATGATATTCACGTGGGCTGAATGTGTATGTACTGGGAAGAGTCGATCGCATAAGCATAACAGCACCAATCATTAAGACTACATGAATAAAACTAAAATATGGATCAACCCATAAAAAATAATCTGATAAATACATCTTCGGAAAACAAAATGAGAAACACAGTATGTAGTGAAGCAAACGGACATTCCTGGCACCTTGAAACACGCCATCTATTGTCACTATACTACAAAATGCATTTACAGTTATAAAAATGATCTATGGAAATGGTTTGGTGTTTAAAATGAATGAAACACTCGACATGTCATCCTTGCCAGCCATACGATTCATTGAACAAAACCCGACTCAGCACCCTCCTGTTAGCTCGGCTCATGAACTATGTGTTCTGCTGCTCATCTTACTTAGATGAGGCCGAATCTATCTCCAAGGGACTCCTGATCTGAAAAGAGATCCGTATCTGCAGAGCGACTCTTTGGAAAAGAACAGATTTTCTGTGCACGTGAAAAACGGTCGTTGGTAATTGGGCTTAAAAAAGTGGCAGCCATTGTGGTACGTCTGAAATCTGCCATGCTCATGTGAGTCGAAAATAAAAATTCTAGGTTCTATTTCATCAGTTGTCAGAATTTTCAGAATTTTAGTCACAGATGTCAATTTCAATCTCAGATGTCAAGGCGTGGTTTGATCTTGATGAGCTCCTCCAGGTTCTGAGGCAGAAAACTGGTTGTTACTCAGTCTCAGGAAGAGTGCCGTGCGCACCAGCCCCCGAGCTTCCAGGCCCCCTTCAACCAGGTGCGGCCCCTGAAAACCTCCGACACAGCCACTCGTGATGCGGCATTTCACCGCGTCACTGGCCACCCAGGCAGCAGCGGTGAGAATTACTTTGAGCATCTGTCTGACTTAGTTTAAAGCATTCGTTCAGTCATGTTGTGCTGTGCTCTGGTGTTTCCTTGTTCTTTGGGAAGATCCAAGGACTCTGGAGCCAGGGACAATGTTAAATAGCAGCATCTCTGAATAAGAGGCATGGTTTATTGAGCAAGAGGAGAGTTATTCTGGACTTGCATAATTCCCACTGTCAACCGTATGAGTGACCTGGTTGCCTGTTCAGCATTCTATGGCACATTAGGTAGGAAATAGGCAGTAGGTTTTATTATATTTAATTTAATTTTTATTTATTTTTTAAATATTTTATCTATTTATCTGACAGAGAAAGACCCAGGGAGAGAGGGAACACAAGCAGGGAGAGTGAAAGAGGAAGAAGCAGGCTTCCTGCTGAGCAGGGAGCCTGATGTGGGGCTCGATTCCAGGACGCTGAGATCATGACCCGAGCTGAAGGCAGACACTTAAAGACTGAGCCACCCAGGTGCTCCTAGGTAGTAGGTTTTTTTGTAGTATTTTTGTGATTAGGAAAAGCTTCCTTGCCTAATATTATTTCTCTGATATCACTACCATTCCCTCCCGTCCAGTTTTTTTTTTTTTTTAAGATTTTATTTATTTATTTGACAGAGAGAGATCACAAGTAGACTGAGAGGCAGGCAGAGAGAAGGGGGGGGGAAGCAGGCTCCCTGCTGAGCAGAGATCCCAATGTGGGACTCGATCCCAGGACCCTGAGATCATGACCTGAGCCGAAGGCAGAGGCTTAACCCACTGAGCCACCCAGGCGCCCCCCACTCCCGTCCAGTTTTAAGGTGAAAGTTATCTGTAGCAAATCTTAACTTTGTTGAAACCTTGTTGCCTCTCCAGTGTTCCCTGTTAGGAAACAAGTGTAGTCTCCTAGATCAACCCTACCTCTCTGTTATCTACCTATCAATCATATTATAAATATTATATTCTGATTACAAATTTAGGTTAAATAGTAACCACGATCGATCAATATAATAGTATAGAAACACTCTCTCCCTCTGGAACTGCCTGTAGATAGGGTCTGGCTAAGGAGTACACTACTGGCCAAAAAGTAAATTGAAAGGATTTTGTGAAGTCCTTAATCCAAATACAGGGGAATAATTTGTACTAGATTTAAAAACAAAAACAAAAATAAAACAAGACAAAAAAACCTGCCAGAGCACACTTCATGTTTTCCAGTCTGTTTGCTGAATTTGCCTTAGAAGTGAAAATTACTAAATTAAAAGGTTCTGGTTTTTTGTTTTGTTTCTGGAAAGATAGTTTTATAATTGAATTACTTTATTGTTTACTGACTTCCTTCTCTGGAGATTAGAATAATATATGAAAAAAGGCCTCACACATAATAATTCCATTATTCAGCTAGAATTAAAAGCCACGTGGTGGGGGCGGCTGCCGCAGAACGTAAGGCTTGAGGCCCCGGACGATGTCGCAATGTGGTCACGGGTGCTAGTGGGGCTGTCTCCTTCTTTCTACTAAGAATAGCACAGATGGTCATTTCCTCATAACCACAAATGAGTTTTTAAGCACTCTGCAAGGGTAAACTGCAAAGGATGTGTATGTATTGATATTGAGTAATGATATTAGGAATTTCCTCACCAGCAGATTATGAAGAACAACTAATTAGTGGCTGCCTTGCAAGGTGTCCTGACCAACTAGAGTCGCTCATTTTAACCATCATTGGTAGATCGCCATGGAAAAAATTACCATGTTGCCACCACTGAAAATGTGACATGATCAGTCACTTAAGGGCAGTTACTGAATCTGCAGGATAGAAAATGATTTTTTTCTTCTTTACAGACCAGACAAAGACATCACTTAAAAACAAGTAAAAAGAAATGTCTCACTTTTAAATACATCACTGCTACCTGAGGAAACATTTCTTTAAATAAAACCCAATGTGCATGACTTGATGATATTCGTGTTTTTCTCCCTCTTTTCTGTGGGTGGCTAGGGTGTATGATGGATCACATGTCCCCCAAGGCAGGTACCCTCTCAAACCACCCAGATCGCTAAAAACAAAAGCAAGAGTCTTCCTGTCTTCCCCTGCTGGGTAATCATTCATGAAGAGTTGTGCTATTTGGTACTTTATTCCTTTAACTGTTAGAGCTCTTCCAACTCCCCCAAAGGAAAATTCCCAATTAATACTAAATTGAAAAACATTTCCTCTGACCAGAAAGCTGATTTCCTCCTGTGCTAAAATGAGATCACTTCACATTTAATTATATCCAAGTTGGGGGCTGTGGGCACACCATCTTGAAATTATGAGCTAAGATTTTAAAGCCAATATTTTATAGAGCTTTACTTGATTCCACAATCATCTGATACATCAATCTTAATAGAGCACCAGCTTTCAGGCCCTGGATTGCTGGGTTGCGTCAGATTTTAAGCCTGTTGATCTGTGTAAAAATGAAT